CATGTATACATGTTTATCACATCTATCATCTTATTTCATTCGTAGAAGAGCTTGCTCGCTTGCTTGCCTGCTTGCCTGGATGATGGCTGGATAAGGAAAATGGGGAAATGCGTATACTCTGTATGTATATATATATATATACTTAAAAAAAAGAATATGGCAAAAAAAAGTTTTAAAAGAAAAAAGAAAGAAGAAAAGGAGGGGGGGGGGAAGGAGAGAGAGAGAGAGAGAAATTGAGATTGAAACTGAGGAATGCGATGGTTTTTTCTATCGTGTCTAGATTGTATAGTTTTTTTAAAAAAAGATTGGAAAGATTGGAAAGATTGGAAAGATTGGAAAGATTGGAAAGATTGGAAAGATTGGAAAGATTGGAAAGATTGGAAAGATTGTATATATATATATGTGTGTGTGTGTGTGTGTGTGTGCTTAAAAAAAAGGATATGAGTAGATGATTTTTTTTGTAGTTTTGGGTTTTGGATTTTGGGGTTTTGGATTTTGTGGGTTGAGGTTTGTGGATTTGGGAGAAGGGAGAGAGAGAGAGAGAGAGAGAGAGAGAGAGATATGAGATTTTGGGGCATTAGTGAGCTGGCTGTTGGAGTAGGAGAGGGAGGGAGGAGGGATGGATTAGATTGGATGGGTGGGTGGATGGGTGGATGGGTGGATGGGTTAGGTAGGGAGATGGCTTCAAAAAAGAAAAGAAAAATTGGGGAGGGACTAGGTAATGTTGGATAGTTTTTACTTCTGTATTGGATTATCTTGTTCTGTTGGTGATGGTTTTACTTCTGTATTGGATTATCTTATTCTGTTGGTGATTATTTGATTTCCCTTCCGCTGAGAGATTCAGCCGCAGATCCCTCTTTTAGGGGGAGGGGTACAGTGATGGATGGGAAAGCTGGTTCGCGAGTTGGCTGGGTCGGCCGTTATTATGGGTGTCAGCTGTTTATCTGGTCAGATGATCGACGGTTTGGTGATACATGCGGAGTATATATATATATATATCCGTACGTCAGTCAGTCAGCCAGTCAGTCAGCCAGTCAGTCAGTCAGTCAGTCAGCTTACACGAAGACTGATTGATTGACAGCTGAAAAGAAAAAAGAAGAAAAGAAGAAAAAAGTAAAGACCCTGTCGGCTTGGCCGAGCTGAAGGATGGACACACATACCGCTACACACATACACGCATATGAATGTACAACGTGCCGTACGAAGCATGGGTGTACTTATCGTACAACAGTCAGCAGCTGAGTTGTTAAATATAGATCGATTATCTTACTGACATCTCGTCGATACATACATACATACCGGTATGCACTCTTTATATTGATGTTTCTCTTTCTCTCAAGAGCGGACAAAGCTTGGACTCGAATGCCACGACCGGCTTATCGCCCGCCTCGTTGGGTTTGACGTAGGCGGACGGACTTAGTCACTTATTGCTTACGGTTGATCGGTTGTTTAGCTTGCCAGATTGGAAGATCCGGCGTAGACACTTATGGTATATGCCTAAGCATATGTCTCTCACCCGCTTGGCGAAGATGACGCTCTGCTCGTATTGGCGTTGCTGGAGCGAGATCAGCTCGGGTAATCAATCAGCTTGGGCGGGGTGAAGGAGCCGTGCGACATGGTTGTAGTCAGCTGGGTTCGCTGCGTTCCCTTACCTACCCTAACTAACTACTTACCTACTTACCTACCGACCGACCGACCTACTTATCTATAAAGAGGAAGGACGGGCGGGGAAGAAAGGGGGTCGGTCGGTGTGTGAGCTTTGTCTCTTTTCTTTCCCATCAACCTGGTTTGACAGAATTGTCTCGCTTTCCCCTCGAGAGTCGACAGAGATATTTTTCTCATACTTGCTGAACCGACTTGGCTTTGAACTGAGTCGAAACTCAAAAGACTCCCGACTCTGACTCTAAGTATCTGGTACCTGCATAACTCCCAATACAAGTACCTACAATATGCGTCTCCTACCCTGCTTGACGATCCTGGCCGTAGGGCTGATGGCCCCCGTGCTGGCTTACCCTGGTCCGAGTCCAGCTGCTCCATCTACCGGTACATCTACACTATCAAATTGTAGGCCAGTTCCTCTCCCGTCCAGCACATCACATCACATCACATCACATCACATCACATCACATTACATTGACATGTATATTTCCTTCTAAGCATCTCGCTAACCCATCCGCAGTTCCTAAGCCGCCGGTTAAAACGCCGATAAAGCCCTTCCAACCAGACTGCGCAGCAATTCTCTGCATCGCCGAGATGCAAGTCGTCTACGACCAAACAACTGGTACCTGTGGCTGTGAATGGATCCCCGGCTTCGGGCCCGCAGCTATCGACACCAGAAGTGCCGACGTCGTCGAGGTCGACCCGTCAACTTGCCCGACTATCCGTTGCAGAGCCGGCTACCACGCCCTCTACCTACCCAGCAAGAAAGTGTGTACCTGCGTGCCTGATGCGCCGGATCCAAGCACGTGTCCGACGCTCGAGTGCACTTCGACGACGCACCCGGTCTACCACCCCGAGACGAAGAGCTGCTCGTGCGAGCCCAACGCTCTCGTCTGTCCGAACATCATCTTCTGCGCCGCGGGCAGCACGAAAGTGCAAGATCCCAAGACGAAGGTGTGCGCGTGCAAGATCACGAACCCGATTCCCGCGACGTGTCCGCTGTTCAAGTGCGTGCAAGGCACCCACGTGGTGTACCACCCGGAAACCGACAAGTGCAGCTGCGACACCGACTGCCCTGATCTCATCTGCATCGCGGAAAAGCAGCCGGTGTGGGACTCGGCCACCAACAGCTGTAGCTGCCAGTGGATCCCGGGTCTGGAACCATCCCCGGATCCGATGGCCGTGACGGCGCGCAGCGCCACCGCCATGTCTACGACTCCAACCCTGCCTCCAAGACCGACAGCGCGTTCACCAATCACCTCCAAACCCAAGCCCAAGCCTACGATCAAACCAGGCCCGCTTCCTGGATGTAGAGACGTCTTCTGCATCTCAGAACAACACCCCGTGTTCAATGCCACATCGGGAAAGTGCGAATGCGAATGGATTCCCGGGCTAGAACCTTCCTTAATTGTCTAGGTAGTGTGAGGTGAAGAAGAAGAAGAAGAAGACGGTGAACAAGAGGAGTTTGGTGATGGACGTGTAGGCTGAGCTGGGCTGGGCTGGGCTGGGCTGGGTCGGACTGGACTGGACTGGATCGAATCGGTTCCGTTATATTGAACTTTGTTCTATTCTGTTTCGTATTACAGCCATCGTAACTTGAAATGAATAGGCTTTGAAACTTATAAACTGGTCCCAAGAAAACTGATATGCAAAAGCAGACCCGCAATGCACATTGCAGTTGTTGTTGTTGTTGTTGTGGTTGTGGTTGTTTTTATCTACGTCAGGCAGGTAGCCCTAGGACCTCCCACGGGGGGTACGGCGACGTGCCAAGCCAAGCAAGCTACGGAGTTACATACATACATACCTAGGTACCTAGGTACCTTACCTACAAGAAGGCCCCAGAAAGCAAATCCCTAGTTGCTGTAGCGAGAGCAGAGCTACGCTACTGTCGTGTGTGCGGCCCTTCCCTTACAGATAGGATGGATCACAACGAGAGGAAATCTCTCGCGTCGAGGGGAAACCACAAAGGGAGAGTCAAGCAGGTATGTACAGACAGACAGACAGACAGACAGACAGACGGCTGTAGCTAGCTAGCTAGCTAGTAGCGTAGCGGACGATGCATGCACAGTGCAGTAACTACTAGTCTTGTAAACCTATATACCCGCACGACAAAAACTGTCAATAGAACAGTTGATTATTGACTCAGTAAATGGATAGAGAGATGGATAATGAAAGTGAGTTTTAGGTGGTTCTTTTCTTTCCCCCTCCCTTCTTCCCCCCCCACCGAGGAATAAACCCAAACCCAGACGCAGAAGAAGAAGAAGAAGAAGAAAAAGAAAAAGAAAAGAAAAAAAAGAAGAAGAAGAAGAAGAAGAGAAAAGGAAAGAAAGGAAGAGAAAAGAGGAAAGAGGAAAGAGGAACCAACATCTCTAGAATACGGGAGACAGGGCTCACTCGTGAGTAGGAGGTGCGAGGCTTGGCTTGGCTAGGACGGGAACGGAAGGTGAGGAAGGTGGTCGGTCGTTACGAGATGTGCTTGTTGTGGGTGTAGTGGAGTGGAGTGTAGTGGAGTGTAGTGTAGGCTGCTGTGTATGTACGTGCTGTACCTGCTGTACCGTATGTGTTCTGTTTGCGTGAACCAAGCAGCTTTGTGAGGAAGGGAGGGGAGGGGAGGGTAGGGGAGGGTAGGTGAGGGTAAGGTAGGGTAAGGTAGGTAGCTGATGCAATCAATCAATCAACCAACCAACCAACCAACCAACCAAAAAAAAAAAAAAAAAAACCTACGCTCCTTCTTTCTCCCTAGGTATCGATCGGGCTTGCATCCATCCATCCATCCACCTACCTACCTACTCCCCAAACGCCACGCCACACAGGAAGGATCGAATATCTCCATCCCATCCCTCCCTTCCTTTCCTTCCTTCCTTTCCTTCCCAGCTCGACAAACCCCCACCCACCCACCAACTCTCACGGATTCATACCGCTATATTCCTCTCAGATGCCCTATTCAAACCGTGCGGAGGGAATAGATAGATCCTGCAGGCAAGCTAGTGAGTGAGTGAGTGAGTCCGTGGTTGCAGTAGGGTTCAGACCGGAGTCCTTGTCCGATGGCGCAAGCGAGCAAGCGACCGTATGCGATGGGAGCTTTGTTCGTGAGAGGGCGCGTAGGCTCGTCTGATAGAGGAAAGGGAAATGTGTTGAGGGGGGGGAGGAAGAGGAGGATGGGATGGACAGTTAGCAGCGCTAGATGAGTGAGTCTATGCACCCGTAGGAAAGTATCGATGTGAGGGGTCGGTATCTTCTTCGGATCGGAGGCAGATTTTGGATCTTGAAAATGGAACTCCGTGACTTTTAGGTAGGCTTGGAAGTCGGTTGGTGAGGCTCCGAGGGGGCGCAGGTAGGCAATCGCCTCTCGTGGTATAGAGGGCGGTAAAGGCGGTCGAGTAGTGAGTGCTCTTGGGCCATCGGTTGAATAAACGTTGAGCCCTTTTGCAAAAGACGATATGTAGCGGGGTCTTGTGCTTGCGGCAAGAGCAAGTGGTTTTAGCGTCCTCGTAACGGTACTTGCGGTAGGACCAAGAGAAGTCTCCGTATCGTATGCGTATAGCAAGGAGTCGGTGCAGGGACTTTTGGAAGAGTTCAAGTTCCGGCGGTGCTTTGTTGGTCTACGCGAGGCCCCAATCGCGATACCAAGCAGAGAGCTCCTTTCTCTTTTCTCTCTACCACTTCTGTCTAGAGTTGTAGTACAGCTCTTTGGTGATTAACCTCACTCCAAAGGCAGTAGGCTCCGAGGTGGGACCCAGCAAGTCTCATTCACAGTGCCTCGACGTCTTCGATTTCCATCTCAGATCCGACACCCCGCCGGGCGCCGACCTCACCGGCGCTCACTCTCGTCGTTCGATACATACCATGCCAGCCGAAAGATATCGTCGGGTTGATCGGAGAGGACACCCACGATTGCACGGGCGTGATCGTCGCCGGCGCGCTTTCCGTACAGCCTCGCACCGTTGTTGATGCGCCGAAGTAGCGGCGCTGGAGCGGGACAGTACCGGTATGCGAACAAGGGGCGGGGGGCCGTGGTGAGAGAGAGAGAGAGAGAGAGAGGGGCCGACTGACTGGCCAGGAACTAAGAACTACTTACCTTACCTACCGTACCTACATCGATGTCTCCTTCCTGACCCGACACCAAGTGCATGCAAGGAACCCAGATTTCTAGGTAGTGCGGTTGGAATTCCGCGAGGCTGACTCAGCCGTTCTCGCGCTCCAGTGCTCCACGGGCCTGTCAAATGTTACTTACCCCTACCGTGCACGGCTTCTCAGCGTCTGATCTGGCAACCGCATTGAGATTAAACTCACTGCTCCTTAAGTATTAGCACAGCTTACGGTACGGCCCGCCTGCACGGTCGAAAAGTCTCCGACGCGCGACATCCGAAGCTCAAAGCCGTGGTCAGGCACGTACGGTACGTACGGTACCTTACGTACTGTAGTAGGTAGGTCACATGGCATCTAAACCCCATCATCACCATCACCATCATCATCATCAGAGAGGAAGGGAGTGATCCGGCCCTTGATGATTCCCGCGATCAACATCGCCACTACGTACGAAGCGCAGGCTTCTTTCTCCTCCCAACCGTCCTTCCTCTCGACGACCAAATCCCCACGAGAGGATTTGATTTCCAAGCCGGGAATTCCGTGATAAGGCTTTTAAAGCGGGGCAGGGCACGCCGCGACCTACGTAGTACTTAGTAGTACTACCACCTACGTATACTCCACAGCTACAGCTACAGCTACCCCACATCAAACCTCACATACCTACCTACTACGTATAACACCCAAACCAGACCCCAAAGGCACCCCCGACGCCACCGCCAAGAGCTGCGCGTATGTACCGGTATGTACCTATGTACGCACGCCCAGCGAGCACCGTGCCCGCAAGCAAAGCCAGCCGCCCATCGGCAGAAACGGGCGCTTCCGATACCGCTACCGCTACCGCTACCGCTACCGGTATGTCCGTCACATTCTCCTCTCTCTGGCAAACTGCTTACACCCACACACCCACCCAACCCTCATTGATGGATGGATGGTAGGAGAATGGAAATGGACCGCGGCGGAGAGAGAGCCCGTCTCGGTTTGCGAGGCCGAGAGGAGAGGAGAGTAGAGGAGAGTTGGGTTGGGTTGGGGGAAAAAGTCTGCCGGCCGGCTTTCGCGAATGTTCGTCTCTTTCGGGCAGGACTGATTGATATCTTTTCTCGGATTGGGAGGTGATGCGCGCCATGGCAAGGGATGGATGGACTTAGCAGTTTTTTTTT